ATATATCCCTCCAAAACTGCATGTAGAACTACCTACTACATGGGAGATGAAATTTCAAGTCGAAAAACGGGAAAATTCAGAAATGATTTTACTTTTGGGGTTCAGGTTCATTCACATGCTCTATCTAAGCGTCTACCTCTTGGCATTTCTCTTCTCGGTACGGTGGATCGCCGTGGGCACATATCCGTTCGAGTTGTCTTCCTTATTAAGGGAGCCTATTAGGAGTGTAGCATTTATAGTAGCTCCTACGGCAATATTGGCGACGATACGGTACATGTTTGAACTGCTGGCGAGGAGGGACTATGTTCTGTCGCTGACGCTCGCGACTGAGTCGGACCGTTCGGAACGATTATTGATGAACGTTTTACCGGTATCGATAATTCAACAGCTTAAAGAGATTCAAGATGATCAAGTGAAGCAATCTGGTGGGGAGGCTACTGAGGAAGACACTTCACTAACGCACCAAATGGCTATGGGCTTTGCTGAGGCCTATGAGCACGTCTCGATTCTGTTCTCTGACGTTGTGGGATTCACAAAGATTGGTTCTGATATCGAGCCGGAAGAACTGGTACAGTTGCTGAACGAGTTGTTTACAATGTTTGATGATATTGCTGAGGAATGCGGGTTGGAGAAAATTAAGACTATTGGTGACGCGTATATGGCGGCGGCAGGGTTGCCGAGATACAACCCGATGCACGCGCATGCTACAGCGAGGATGGGGCTCATGATGATCGAGGTGAGTATAGGGGGTCGATCTGTCAGGATGTGTAGGAAATGTGGTATTAATTAATTGTAACCGTCTGTACTATGTCAGAGTTAGTGATATTAGTATAGCTTTAACCAATGATACTGTCATTTATATGATATTAATAATATTTTTATATATACATAGATCTACTCAGTGCTGCAAGGAAATGTTCGCTTTCCTCAGCTGAGCTCAGTGCTTTCGTCGCTTAACATAGGAGTTTGTATATGAACTGGGAGACTATACGAGAAGTGTACAGAAACTAGCATGGATTCTCCAGAATTTCCTCAGAGTTTTCATAGTGTCACCAACACATGTGGTGGACCATTTGCATGTTTCGCTAAACCGGATCTATTGGAAAATCTGTTTGCTCTCCTCAGCACAGTCTGGGGATTTCCTTACTAATTTCAGACTAATTTACGTATGAATTTGGGTGTAGATGTACAGAAACCAATGAGAATTTCCCCAATTTTCCTCAGAATTTCCGCAGATTTTACCTACACATGTAGTAGACCATATGCATATTTTCCTATACCGGTTTTTATGGGGGCGCATCTGATCATATATGTTTCCTATTTTTATATCTACATTTATAACATTGATATGGTGATTGACTTGGTTAGTTGGGAACGACCAGGAGCAGGGGTCGATCCGGTGGTGTGTATTTATCAATGGAGCGTGTTCCGATGAAGTGTTGTTATTATTAGAACTGATTGCGGATAGCTGAGCGGAGGCTTCCTCTGATGTGGTCTCATGCTGTGTGAGAAAAGTTTTATTGTACTAGTGTGATATGTCGCGTGCCATAGAATTAGTGAATATGGTTGTTAACCATTAACTAGTTGAAGTGGAATGGCAATTGATCGAGGAGTTTTGTGTGTTCCATCAGGCCCTGCAGGATCCTTCCAAGATTGAGGACGGCAATCTGGTCGATCAGCTCGGACATCCTCTACGAATACGTGTTGGTATTCACTCTGGTCACTGTGTGGCTGGGGTCATAGGCCGGAAGAAATTCATTTACGATGTTTGGGGAGACTGCGTTAATACGGCGTCTAGGTAGAATTGGGGGGGAGGATGGTTGGCTCGAACCGGGTATCTTTGGATGCACAGGCAGACATGTTTACCAGTTGGTCTAGATGGTAGTTTTTTTTGTGAGGCATCGATAGTAGTCGTGAGAAATTGATGGGGGAACACACTGTTACTCTTGACGACTATAAGCACATCTATTCTTCCAACCATACGGAACACAGCGTTGGAATATATGTTTGCTTTCCTCAGCTGAGCTCACGAGTTTCCTCATTAATTACAAGAGTTTATACACAAATTACGGTAGAAGTGTACAGAAACTGATAAGAACTTCATCAGAATTTCCATACTCTCACCAACATATGTAGTTGACCATGTGCATATTTTCCCATACGTGCCGGAACATGATCGTAAATGTCAAATTGTCTTTTTTTATTCTTCAGAATGGAGTCCCATGGCACAGAGATGCGAGTTCATTGCTCGGAGGACACAGCCAACTTGGTCCGACACAGTTTCGACCTCACCTGTAGAGGAGTTATGGAGGTGAAGGGCAAGGGACTGATGACCACATACTATATCAATAAGGAGCGAAGGGCGAGCAGGAAGAGAGATTATAGAAGTAGCGCGCGCCCTGGTAATCGATTTCGAGCTGTGGATTCTGTTAGATGAGTATGGAGGAACGATGCAGCTGTCACATGGGATGGTGTCCGACGTTGAGGAAGAGAGTTCAGATTCGTCATACCACTCGTCTGCCTCATCATGTGATGGAGAAGCGTGGAACGCCTATGAACCCTCCTGTAGAAGTGCTGATGTGTCTTCCTTGAACACAGACGAAATCGGGGCCGTTGGTATGACTAGGAGGCGGCTCAGCTCGGTTCAATCGGGGTACAGCCCGAGTAACGTTGAAACGATTCCCCAGCGCATCGCAAGGTTCTGAGCTTTTTCGTTGGCGGGTGCAGGGATCGAACCTGGGCGTCCCCATGAACGTTTAAAGTTGACTGATAGCAGTATAATTTCAGTACCATAATCTTATCCGATTTTCATATGCACATTGTGACCTTGATAATTCTCATATCATATATGTTTCATTCTCGGCAGCGATGTTGTGTTCTGGAGTAAAGAGAAAGATGTACAGCTTGTCAGCCAGTCTCGTTCGATAAGTGGATTCTTGAACTGGAGACGAGGAAAAATGAAGTATGAGTTCAGCAGCTCATGTGTTCATCGGAATTGAAAAAAGATCTCAATCAACAACTCGGTATCGAAGGACACTTCTGAGAGTAGGTTGTCCAGTCTTAAAGACTATGTGCTGTCTACTGAGGCGCCCCATAGAGCTATGGGTTGAATCGCATTGCATTGAATGCAGCATTGCACTACACATTAGACTTGCACTGATACAATTTAAAACAGTCAAGCATTGTCAACTGTTTTAGATAGTTTGAGGTACTTAGAAGCTAACACGAATGCCCCAGCATCCTTCGACAAAATATCATCTACGAGGTAGATGATATTCACTCCGAGCGGGGCTCGAACCCGCGGCCACGGGCTTAAAAGGCACGCGCTCTACCGACTGAGCTATCGGAGCTGATATATACTTACTCTTCCATTCTTAGGTGTGCGGCTCTCATTCACTTCCACCTACTTGACACTGCCTTTGCAGGTGCGAACTCAACAGTCGCCGATGTATTATACACCGTGTATACACGACGTGCAAAAATATGAATGTCATCCACAGCAGAGCAACAACATACCGAACATACCGTCTCACCGTTGCTCGGGAAGAGCAACAACATATAAATGCAATCGAGGGACCCGCCGTCTTGTGTAGAGGAATTCCCTCGCCGAAACTTGGTATGGAAAAGATTGGGCAGGGCGGCCTGGATATGATTGCACATCTTTTGCATGCATCCTTGATGTGATGTCAGCTGGTTGCAGAGAGGTTTCACCCGAAACGGTATGCCTTAGTTACAGCTGGATCTATCACATCTGGAAGGCGTCATCTACCTTACTATAATTGCCATCTCCGTACCTCCTAGTTTGGCCGACACATTATGTAACTGATGCTAGTATCTAGCTCTTTGGTGGTCTCGAGTTCGCTCAGTACACAACACTACCACAACTCAAGATCAAAACAACGCAAAATCAAATTCGCAACTGACGGAAACCTCTTCGCTTTCTCATGTGCCACCGCGAACGCTCATGACTTCTCCTCCTCTCCACCGCTCTGTGCGAGCGTATGATTTGGACTGTACTCGAGATTTGCTGAAAAGCGAAGAACAGTTCGAAACCAATACCCATGATCCCTGAGGAATGTTCTTCCGATCAGTTACAACCGCTTGGTAGACAACGAGCAGTATTTCACGCAGTTCATATTCTAACCACTGCGAAGACTTTCTCGAGGGTGCTCACCTTGCAGTTTCCAGCTCTCTACAATACTATTCATTTCACCATCAGAGAAGTGGTCCGCAATGTACCGCCGCTTGTCTCCATTGAGGAACTCAACGTCAATAGTAGCCGGACCGTCATAGGCTAGAAGCTCCCACGTTGCCTAGTTGACAAGAAGATAAGCGTTTCCGTAGTGTAGCTCAGTCGCCATAGCAAACACCGAATGAATAAGTCGTGTCGGAAATTCGATCGGTAGTAGTTCGCCAAGTAGACGAGTACGCATTAGGTTTTTACTAGACTGCGGAAGAAAAATTCGGACTAGATTGATTACTAGCAAAAATTATTCAGCTTGATACCACACTTTCATGACTAATTGATAAACTCTCCAAAGACACAAACATACGTCCATTTGTGTCTCCGCAATCGACGTTCAGATGTGAGAACACATCGATGCTCTACTGTGCATTCCCCTCAGGTGTGAAATCAAAATGCCGAAAGATAGATGTGTGTCGGGATATATGTTTGAGTTTTCTCAGTAATTATAGCATTTTACACACGAATTCGGGTAAAAGTGTGCAAAAACCTACAAAAAAACTCCTGAAATTTCATGATGTCACCAACGCATGTAGTTGATTTACCCACACTGGTGACAAGATTTCAACTTACGGTGAATTCCGGGAATTTTTTCTGTACCGGTTCGCTGGTTATGCTCATCACTAACCTCTTGGCCACCTCAACGTGCTGTCGTCCAGGATGGTATCTGACGGAGATTCATAATAGTGAACTCGACCACACAGTAGAGTCTGGTCTATCCCACAGTCTTGTTCCCTCAGACTTGGAGGAATATATTTTCACTTCCCTCAGTTGAGGCGGTCACTCGCTAATTATAGAAGTTTACATATAAAGTCGGGCAGAAGTGTACAGAAACCACTAAGAATTTCCTTAGGATTTTCATTTTGACACCAACTCGTATTCCCCTCCACACTCCTTCTTCAGAGATTGTTTAAAACAGTCTATGTATATACAATTCATCAAGTATTGCGAGTCGCAATTTGCGACTCACTACCAACATTGTGCACGCGTGCAGTGCAAACTCCAACTTACGCCACATGCATCGACTTTAGATGCCGTAGAACATTCAGCCGAGGGAAAAGCTTATACGAGCCGAAATGGGTCGTCATAATAACACAATGGAAATGATCTATGGTAACCCGTGACGAAGCGAATACAAACAACACGTCTTGAAAGTGTACTCTAAAATGGTATAGCCTATACCATTTTAGAGTACATTTGCAAGACACCAGACCATATGGGAACATCTAATGGAATTCACGACTTTCTAGATGCAGGAGTTCAACGAAATGTGGTATCGGCAGTGAGTCACAATATCGACTGTGAAAACTAGAACCAAAGACCAGAGAATCATCATGTGGTAGAAAATAGCATGCTTCGAACTGAACGGTAATTGCACAGTATCAATAAGTGGACACAACCGAAATCACACAAATCGTGGCCTTCTATCTCACCTGAATGATTCAGAAAGACGCAAGAAAAACCAGCAACCTACGACCACTCTCAAACTCGAGTGATCGGCGAATAGACCTGCGCATGTCTGTGTGAAGATTGTGGTACTTCAGCAGTCACAATTATCTCGATAATAACACACTGCTGCAAGAGTGAGTCAGTAGTTGTTGATTACAAGCTTCGTTGAAAAGCGAACAGGCCCCGCGGTAACACATGGTGGGTAGTAGTACTGACATGCTGGAGTGGCCGAATCAGGGAGTTACACCATTAGGAAAGTAACATATTTCGATTACTTAACATTAGAGTAGTAGTCATATTCGCTATATAATCATCGATTGGGAAGACGACTTGAAACTCACCCAGTGTACGATAGGAATGGGTTCGGGTTCCGCGCCGCTTAAACAGCCGCCGATATACTTGAGGCGTAGGCCGGATGGCGGCTGACTTTCAGCTCCGGGAAGCCCGACTACACGAATGTAAACAATCGATATTAACAACATGTCCGCTGTAGTATAGTGGTGAGTATTCCTGCCTGTCACGCAGGAGACCCGGGTTCAATTCCCGGCGGCGGAACTTTTACCTAAGCTCACGATCTGGATCACTTACTGGACTTCTTCGTGGTTCAACTAACAGAGCAAGCATCAGGAAAACATTACAATGCGGGCTAACCTTGCATGAGATATCTATATCTACAATCTCCTCTTCTTACATACCGCTCGCTGCGCCACATCTTCGATCTCCTCTATCGCTGCCGGAAGACCTACCCCGACTCTCACGCTGGCTTAAACAGAAGCATTTCTATAGGAGCCAACTGCCGTGATCATCACAGCTAGGCTCCCAAACATAGTATTAGAGCTGAATTGATTTTCCCGTGCGGATATCGACAAACTTTGTACTTGCGTGCACGGGCTGAGTCATACCGCTCGTTTAGTTATTACTGCACTCTGATTCCCTATCATCCCTGCTCATCCCCAAATTCTTCAAGATCATCTCCAATTAAACTACCATAACTGTCTCGGCACACGTAGCACTCTCAAACTAAGTGTAGTAGCAGACGCGCCTCTCATGCTAGTCTCCAGACACCATCGAGAGGCTTTCTTTTCACTCCCCATGCATGTGTTGGTGACAACATGAAAACTCTGAGGGAATTTTGGAGAATTTAATTGGCTACTGTACACTTCTACATCAGGGCGTGTACCAACTTCCATGATTAGTGATGAAACTCCTGAGCTCAACTGAGGGAAGCGATCCTCCAACACTACCCATACGGGAGGCTTCTCGCCCCGGACTGATGAACAGCTCTTTGCTGGCCAGCCGGAATATGCTGGCGATAACCCAAGTGTTGGAATTCCACTCAACTCTCTAGGGAGATTCTTATACACAGTGCGTACCAAACAGTTATGCATATCTAGATTTCCAATATGGCTTTTTTTAATTTGAGACTAATACGACTATAGACTACGGAACGCTTCTGAAACGTTGGTGTCAATCGATTCACATTGCTATCATGTTAATATTACTCAAAGTTGACTTTCGACAAACTCCCAAAAATTAAAGGTGTTGATGACACTACTTCGCATAACGGTTTGGTTCATACTAGAAGATTCAGAAAAACTTCCTGCCAATAACATACTATACACGTAGATAAATCACTGAAGGATGCGAGATAGCAAAAGTATGACTTTACTTATGATTTTCACATCAATACAACCTACACAGAGATCCCTAGTGTCACCCATACCACTCTTCCTTACAATACAATAGTTGATACAGAGTGGCCATCCGGATAAGGTGTCAGAACCACACCACTGTCAAAGTAGGGCAACTCAATGCCAATCGATCAGGGAATGATGATAATGATGATACCCAAGTTTATCTTGGTGTTCTTCAGGAAGCTTTTCATCCATCACTGTCCGTAGTACCAACACACACTGTGTCCCTCTATCAGCCTTAATAGAACCAGACAACTACAGTCGCCTGTTACACCATTATTATCTATATTATATACTACTACTTCTTGTGCAGCACTACTCTGACGAGACTGATTGTAGTACATATAGGGATGTAGTTGCGTATGCAAGGTGTCATAACCTGATTTCTAGTATACGTGTTACCAGTGTGGGATTATATGCACATGGTCAACTGCATGAGTTGCTAGGAATATGGGAACTTCGAGGAAAGTTTGCGAAATTATCCTTGATTTTTGTATACTTATACCCAAAATCGTGTGATTTTTCATAAAATAGTGAGCAAACCTATGAGCTCAGTTGAGGAAACCAAACATATATTCCTGTACTGCATGTTACCACGGAAGGTAGGCGGGGTACCTGCTAAAGACAAAGACTACCACCACCTGACTGACTCATGCGATCGATCGAGATGTGTTGAAGGAAATTGAAGTTCTCTCTCTCTCTCTCTCTCTCTCTCTCGCTCTCGGCCGTTTTCGGCCAGGCGACAAACCAACAGCTGATGGCAAGTTGGCTTGCTTATAAGGTCGACGTACTCAGCCAAGGAGACCACCACTTGACTGAGTTTTTTTTCTTCAATTCTAATCCGTCCACGCCTTCAAATAGAAGTTACCATTTCCCAAACAGGCGTTGAAAAGATCTACGTGTTCTTGAGTTCACTGCCTCTAATACAGTGTGGATGTTTCAGTATAAATTCCGCCTAAGTCGAAAGCTACTGTTGAAAGGGTTGGTCACTAAACAGTTAACGTCGTTACCAAGGTAGATAGAACACCTCCTTAGAATGTACTTGATGGAAACAAGCTCAACACAAGATCGAGTTCTCCAACTACTCTGAGTATTATCACAATACTCAGAGTAGTTGGAGAACTAGATCCATACTATTATGCTTTGTTTTGTGGCGCGTGACGGAATTCTCCGGCGTAAATAGTACTACTATCTATAACTATACGTAATGAGCTGATTCAGTGACTATCTATAGACATGCGACTATTGCCATTGTAGCGTCTGCCGGCTCAAACCCCGGAATAACTGGTGGCAACTCAACCCCTCCGCCCCTTGAAGATGGGGTCTCAAATAGGTTGTGTGAGTTAGGCATCAGAAGATGGGATATGAGAGGCTACACAGAGAAATGTAGGGTCATAACCCGTAACGACGCCAAAAAGACTTAGCAAATAATGCCTCATGGAAAAGGGTGCAATGAACGGGGCTGATCGTGCACGTGTCACAACCGGCGTCACGATATTGCGCGCGTGAAGAACACAAGACCCTCAGAGAAGCCCTTGAAGTGGGGAGTCGACACATAGCCGCTCCTAGTATGGGTCGGGTCCTACACTGCACCATCATAGTTGTTAAGAGGAAATCCTGCTAGTTCCTCACAACTTGAAGACGTAGTCTCCAAGAGAATAAACCATGACAGCTATCATAGTAATAGGCGTATGTCTGTAGCCCAGCTGACCCTTGACCACCACGACTACTTATACGAACAAATTTGGAGTGTCCTCGACAATGTAAAGGTCAGAAATGCCGATTGGACGATGCGCGGCGAAATCGATCGCGTGATCGATATCACCCCAGCGTGCCCAGGAAAGTTTAGGGCATCCCACACTCGTCCATGCGGACAGGCGCCAATCAATAAGGAGTCGATTACGGTAGGATAACGTTCTGTACGTCACATAGTGTACTTGAGATAGCGGGTTTTCTATCCGAGATACGTATCAGGGGATCCTATGATACTACGATTTCCAAAGTTCAATGCGCTCATCAGCTTAAGAGTTAGTCAGAGTATTTGCTCTGATGATAAGGTCAAGCAATGGTAATAGACCCATGATTTCTAGACTTTATGCTGGAGACCACAATTTCGACAACGATCTCACCTGATTCCGACCTGATTCAGAAATCAGCGATTTCCGCATCAGGTGATTTCAAATCAATATATGAATTCAGTGCGAGAAAAATCAGAATCAACAGCTGCTTCGAATCGTGAGTTGGAATCAGGATGTCGCAGTCCTGTGGAAGATGATTGAGGAGTGCTCAAGATAACAAGAAGCCTGGCAGTACGTTAATTACTAATATCTCTAAGCTACGTGGATATAATCGTGCGTCAAAATTTCACATTTTCAAATTTCCTGTGGAGTCCACGCTTTACTTTCATAAGAAACCAAGTGCAGAAGCCATGCAGGAAATGCACTACAACCTCCCCCTCCGTAGGAGCTAGAGATTCCCCGGAGCTAAGCGACGCGAGCTGCTAGTATGTACAAAGCGTGATCGATATTCACGTGAATACGTAGCTTGTTCCTAAGAAACCCGATCCGATGAATAAGGGTTGTGGTTTCATTGAGTTATAACACCAGAGTTGTCAGATCTTCATCAAGACGTTATTTCAGTGTTTCCATACACTCACTAGTCTTCGTCACTCTCCAATGGACGTTGAGTTCTCGGGACTAGTACAAAGATCCAAATCAAGTCGTCGACTATAATCAGGGGTCTATCATACCTATCTATCATAGAGTACGTCCCCGACGTAACGTCAGTCAAGCCTGACGGCTCTGATAGAGTTGTTTGCCACAGTTGGTGATTCTCAAGTACCCTCTTGTTGTGCGTAGTCGTGTGTACCAACTGTGCGTGCGTGCAATACTGAGGGCAGCTATATGTGATCGATCAGTTCTGCGCAAGATACTGTGCGCAGAGAGTCTCTCTGGAGCCAGAGAGTCGTCGTAAAGAGATCCATCGGATGGTGCGACGTCATGATCGGAGCCTGGTCATTGATATGATCGAATCATAACGCTTCATCGCATTAAAAAACTTTGTGCGGCACATCGTGTGTGCACGGGTGTGCTCAGCTTCCCCGTCTTGGAGCTCTAGTCGTAGCTCCACTCCACCAAGTTTCGGATTACTCAAACGCTCTATGCTGTAAAGTGAATTAGTCGATAGTGGAGTTTGACGGAAAAGCTGGACTCCAGCAGACAGAACAGTTGCGCGGGAAGGATTCAGATATGTCTGTCCTCGCTTGACAGCAACACGCACCGTGTTGAGCTCTTACCTTCCTCGTTGCGCATTATTATCAGAGTCGTGTTAAGTCCAGCATTGCAGAACTGCTGGAGCAGAGCTCGGTTCCTGATGTGGTTGTCTTGGTTCGCGTTGTCATGTTGTATTGCTCATAGCCTCAACGCGGTGTTTTAGGGGTTGCAGAATTTGACGAGTGCTTTTGGGCTAGAGTTAGCCCGAGATTCGTCCATGCATAGTGATAGTAATACGCTTTGGAAATGACAATCACCACACTGGAATCATTCAGCTGTCAAACTGGCCGATTAAGACGAAACAGACTCCCAACTCTCACTGTGTTGGAGATTGTTCAACGAAGAAGAACGATTTAGCACGATTCTTGTG